TCTAGGTATTCTCTCTCCAGAGCCAAGCAGCTAGACCAAAACCTCATACTATTCCTTAAAGGGAAAATTTTTCAGAAAATTGTCAGAGGCACGTAGGTCAATAGAGCCATTGCCTCACTTGAACTTTCTGTGATGATGAAAATATTCCATAGATCTACACTGTCTGATACAGTAACCACTAGTCATATGTGGCTATTGAGCACCTGAACTGTGTGGCGGGTGTGACTAAGAAACTGCATTTTTACTTTTATTTAATCTTAATTAATTTAAATAGCCATATGTGGCTAGTTAGGCTATTATATTAGGCAACATAACTGTAGAGTAATTATATTATGTTTTATTGTTCATAAAATGTTTTCAGAAATCATCCTAATAATTTTCTTCATTAGGTGTAGAGGTAAATCAAATATGTTATATGGCTGAATGTTAAAATCAATATTAAATTGGAGCTGAGTTGCAACTAAATATCACTATCCTAATAGAAGCTTTGGGGACATGGAAATAAATGTGGTCTTATCAATATTTGCTCTAAAAATGTATTTAATAAGTTTAGTGGTCAAATTTCAAAAGTTTGGTAGAATAGTACAGAAACAATAATATATCAGTTCTAATGCATATTAATGATTCTAAATGAATGACTGGACTGGAGTTGGAGGGGAAGCAAGATACTTTAGGGTACATGACTTTTCTTTATAATTTTTTTCCATGTCTCATTAATTACGCCGCATATTATTTAAATTTCTATAAACATTTATGGACTCAAATTTGATATAGCATACTTTACAAAGTTAACTAGCTACATTCTCTTAAAAGTCAGATTAATTATAATCTATTTTCCCCTTTATTTAACTATTTGAAAGTTTTTAATAATTGTTTTTGTACATAATAGCCTCCAGAATCGCCACTTTTATTGTGGTACTTTGACAGCTTGTTCTGCTTTCATATGTGTTTTGCGATGTGAATCAGCTCATGTGTAACTGGAATCAGGAAATGATATTATCTTGGAGGTTGCATTGGTTCATGTGTGATTTTTCCCAGCACGTCAATGTTTCGTACCACAGTGTAACAGCCACTGAATGCAAAACGCACTAGGACAGCTGAACAGCTTGGTCTGGTTGCACTGTGCCAGTTCATTCATGGTCCTCTTCTTCACTCCATCTGGCTGCATGCTCTCTAGGAGGAGAGCATGGTGTGATCCTCCGTGTCTTAGTATACTTCGCCCTGTCTCTATAACCCAGCAGCCCCGGCCCTCCACCAGCTAGATTTAGTGTTTTTTGTTTGTTTGCTTTTTTAATGCAAGTGTTTTTCTAATGCAAGGTCCTATTTATTTAGTATTTTTTTTAATTTACTAGTCATGTAATAGTTTTTTAAACTGTGCTGTGTTTTTATTAGGAATATTATTGTTTTTGTTAGCATACCACTATAAAGTTTTATATGTTTTGAGTAGAAACTGCAGACGTTTTGAGTGTCTTAATCCTGATACTATTCTTTTAAGTGGGTGTGGTTTTTTTTTTTTTTTTTACATTTGAGTTGGTTTTTCTTTTTTCAGGAATAAAAATGTTGTATTAAGGCAAAAATACCTATACGATGATTCTTCAGTTGAATGAGAAAATAGCAGCAACAACAACAGCAAGCACTCATAAGGAGACCTGGACTCCAAATTGCATCTAGAATGATTACCTATGTTTGAAAGTGAATATTTACACATGAACAACATTCCAAGCAATATGCTTTGTTGTTTTGTTTCTATTACTGATTTCGCTAAACCAATTATATATGATAATGACAACTTCCTGACAATCACTGGTCACATACAAGTCTTGGGATTCCAGAAATGACAATGGAGGTGGTTATTTGATCTCCAAAGACCTAGACCAAAGGCAAAGTAAAGTGTAGATTTTCGCTGAACACCTAGACCAAAGATGAAGTTCCACGTCTCTGTTAGAAAGAAGAAATGTGCATTACCTATATAAATCATCTACATAATTTCTTTGCGATTTTGGTATGTGTGCTTTTTAGGTCCTAAAAGCCTGAAGACTATGGCACACTTCTTCCTAGCCCCATTTGGTAGGTCTCTTTTCTGACCCCATATAATGCCCCTTCTTAGGATTCATGCAGGAAAGACCTTCATGAATGGCATGTCCGTATTCTAGAGTGAGAGTTCTTCTCTCCTCGATAAAAGAGGTCTGCTACCAAATGGTACTTAGGGAGAAGTTGTTCCTTTTGTGTGTGTTTGTAGGAAGGAAATATAAAGATCAATTCACATATACCCATCTCAATTTAGTGCACTTAAAGTATTTGTTTTTCAAAGAAAGCTATAATAAATAACATCTGTTAAAATTACATGTGCATTAGATTGAGTTATACACTTTTAAGTGCCTGCCATTAAATTTGGGGTTTCTTAATACCAGTATAATTCAGTACTGCCCAGTGATAAACGAGAGAGGCCGAGACATTCACAGATGGATATAAAATGTTTTCCAGGTTGGCATCTACTGCCCCAGGTGCCTCCTGGATCAGGGGTTTGGAGATAGTGTCTGTGTTACTGCATTGTTGGGAAGGCAGGCTCTGGTGCCACACTATTTAAGTTTAAAGTTAGGTTATATTACTTCCCCGCTGTGCAACTTTGGTAAATTACTTAGTATCTTTGTTTCAATTTTCTCATTTTCAAAAGTAGGGATAAAATAATTCCAATTATATGGGGTAACTGGGAAAATTAACTATAACATATGTAAAGTAACTGGCATATAATAAGTGCTTGATGCATGTTAGCCTTCATGATGTTTTCTGAGTGGTTCCCCCCTCCCCCCAAATTATAAGGGAAATCATGACTGTAAAACAGTTAACACTATAAGGAGGCTCCTACCTGAAAAAGCATTGAGTGCTGTCCCTGTGACTGCAGTCAGAATTGAGGTAATCTGTCACACTGATCCAGAATTGGTCGGCTGCTTCCTCTCTGAAGCACAGCGGCTGACCCTGTGAATAAGAGGATGTGACACACTGCTGAGTGAGAATTCCTGCCAAAGAGAACATGAGAAGCAATGCAATTAATAACTGTAGGTTAATGTCTAATACTCAACTGAATATTGCTAGTGATTTTTGGTCTATCTCATAAATAAGGCTTCTTATATTCTTTTCCATGATCTGTCTACTTTCTATGCACATTCATGCAGTACACCATCAAAGGCCATGATGTGTACGATTATGTGTTGAGAAGCCATGGGGAAGGGTATTGTCAAGAGTACAGGCTCTGGATTCCGAATTCCTGGCTCTTCCATGAACCAGCTGTGTGATGTTGGCAGCTGGCCAAACACTCTGGGTCTTGGTTTTGTCTTCTGTACAATGGACATAATAATGAACCAACTGTATAGGTTTGTTATGAGGGCTATATAACTTAATCAATATAAATATTTATATAGTGTCTTATGTAATAAGTACTGAACAAATGATGGATAGTAATTATTTTAAGTGTCTTATGTAATAAGTACTGAACAAATGATGGATAGTAATTATTTTAATTTTTCATTTATTTTTAATCATTTAAAAGTGATCCACCATTTTACAGGAAAGTAAAATCACCTATATCCACAGACTCTGCTATAAGTGTTTGAAAATTACTAAAAATGGCAATAAAGGAGAGAGAAAGTAACTATTTCCATTTTTCCATTTAGTTGGAGGAAGTTCATTGGGGAAGAATCTCTATAGCTCTTAAGGAGAGAAAGCATATAACTTGGTAGCTTTGGTGGAGACAAAGGAGACAGAGAGAGAGAGAGAGAGAGAGAGAGAGAGAGAGAGAGAGAGAGAGAGAGAGAGAGAGAGAGAGAGAGAGAGAGAGAGNGAGAAAGAGAGAGAGAGATGCACAGGTGATGTGGGAAATAATGAATAAGAGGTGAGTAGGTTTACTTTAATGGGGGAAGAAAATTAATAAAATAGATGATTGTGGGCTATCAGAAGAATACCATTAAAACTATTAGTTATGATAATACTAGCTACTATAATACAAAAATGCTGAACTGTCAGAGGCTTAACACAAAAGAAGTATTTCCTGTTCATGTCACAGTTCAGTAAAGCGATTCCTGGCTGAGCAGCTCTTTTCTAATGATGTCCTGGCATTCAAGCCCCTCCATTATCTTGAACACAAAGATCCCATGGGCCACCTTGCCTTGTAGGGACTTCTGTTCCAAACAACTGGAAGAGGAAATCTTGTGGACTATTGGAGGTGGAAGGTTTTTATGGGCCGAGCCTGGAAGTGGTGTTTATTTTGGCCTGCATTTCACTAGCCAAAATTCAGTCTCATGGCCATACCTACATTGAATCATTTCTCAGGAGAAAGAACATGGGTTTTGAAACTCATCACAGACTCTGCCTCAGATGCTTTTATGCAGAATGATTATGTCACCCTTCTTGATACAAACCAATACAAATTCATAATCTAAATGGGAATAAGAGAAAACTGAATTGTACCTGGAGATCCAGGGACAAGTGAACTGAATCTGTCTCAACACTACAAAATAATAATTTATGGATTAATATTTATGCAAATCAAAATCATCTCCAGAAATCCTTTCCATGACTACTTTAGAAGAACAATGGCTAGGACTGAGTTCTTAATCCGTTTGAGGCACTGTGCTTAGAGCTTTATACACATTATCCAATTTATTTACTTTTACTATACTGCTGTAAAGTAGAAATTATTTCTATTTTATAGAGTAAGAAACTGAATCCCAAGAAAGGCCCTGACTTTCCCAAGATCATGAAGATAGTAAGTGATGGGATATAGATTCAAACATAGCTTTTACTACCAAAGCTATCAGACTCTACTAATTCAGGATTCCTTACATATATTCATTTGGTACTCCAACATGCCTCTCTACAAATTTTGGTGTATATGTTGATTTATAAACTGTGTCACTTAGCCATTGCTGTGTAACTAACAATCTGCAAATATAGGGGCTTACAACCAAGAATACAAGAATAACTTATTTCTCACTATTATGTAGGTTGACTGCATGGTTCTTCTGTTCCACTGAGTAATAGATGGAGTCACTCAGGAAGCTGCACCCCAGTGACGGGGCTGGCCAGAAGGTCCAAGAAGGACTCTCTCACATGCCTGGGGCCCTGGTACTGTCAGCTGTGGTAACCCAATTCTCCTTCATGTGGCTTTTACTCTCCATGGTTTTTCCTCCTCCAGCACCTGTCCACACAGCCTCTTTCTAGGATAGACTGGATTTCTTTTACAGCATGGAAGCTGTCTTCCAAAAGGAAGGAAGCAGAGGTGTCCCATCCTTTTAAGGGCTATCCTAAAACCAGCTCAGCGTTACTTCTACCACATCCTATTGGTTAAAGGAACCATGAAGCCAGCCAGAATAAAGGAGTGAGTAAAAAGGCTTCACTCCATCTTTAATCTACCACACAGCATTCTCTGTGCAAGTGTCTGGCATGTCATCCTGACCAAACTCCTGAAGGCAGGATCTGGGTCTTCTTCATTTTACAACTGGTGGTTAGCACCTAGGACTATGCTCTGCAAACACTAGGTCTCAGAAAAGCCAATTGCATGACCTAGAACAACCATAACCTATACAATTTATGCAGGAGAAAAGGCAACCTGGAATACTCACCAAGTAACACAGGCCTTTAGGGCACCTTAGACTCCCTACCTGTGAAAGTCGGTAAGTAGCTCTTTGCAGCCATTTTCTTACCAGAGAACCTGGCAACGCACTGACATCTCTTTACAAGTTCTCTGCTTCTGTGCTCACCCAATTTCAAATGCTCACCCACTGTCCAAGCTGAAATATGGAGCCTTTCTGCTAATTCAATTCTGAAAGTCACGATGAATGGTACATTTGGAATTCAGGGCAAATGAAGATGTAACATTGTCCAACAAATTAGCCGTCATAAGAAAAGATTCTGCTAAAATAAGATGTCTGCCCATTTTCATTGGCTGTCTCTTAGAAAAAAATTAAATTGCCTAGGCATACATGAAAAATATCTTGGTTCTCACAGTACCTATTTTGAAGCATAGGTGGCTTATAGGTCTCACCTTAGGCATACCATGGGACATCAATACATACTTGTTCATTACTTTATAAGGGATATTTGCTAAGTAAGGTGCACACACACACACACACACACACACACACACACACACACACACACCTGTAGAAGCCAATAAACAAGATGAAAAATAAAAGAAGGTAAAATTATGCAAGCAAAGAAGAATGAGACTGAATAGAAATTAGTTATTACGTGATCTTATCAGTAAATTAAAGGCATGGCTTTAGAGAATGTGAAATATCTCAGTTAAATTTACTCTTGCTTTCTTTGCATTGGATATCCTGAAACAGGCTCTCCGTAAGGTTTGTTGTACTGAAAGTAATACCTTTTTCTTCCATTTAGGCCTCTTTCTTTGCCAAGATTCCTATAAGTAGAAAATAAAAAAAATGTATGAGGGTTACATCCAAAAGCAGAGCCTGGGGCATATTGTTAGGAATACAAAGTCTGTTAATTTGGGAGTTCTCTGTTCCTTTGTAACCTGAGAAAAGATGGAGTAGTAATTGACATGTGGTTCTTGACAGATGTTGACAAGGGAAAAACCGTAACTAAGTCCCTGGGAGTTTTTGCAAAGAATGATGATGATACTTGTCTCCAGGTTCCATAACTTCAAGAGTACAGTCGAATTCCCTCCTTTATCCTAAGTGCCAAGCAGACATCCATGCAGATGTTATAGGACTATATCAGCATCTGGTCAAAGACTAGAATTCTCTCATCTCACTCACATAAAGGGCATGCACAATAGAGGCCATTGAATGTGGACTCTGTGCTTTGATATATTTTATTGCTAATCTCTCTTGAAATAGAATGACTGCTATGGAGAAAGAATTCACCTTTTTTTTTTTACTTTTTAACTGTCAGAGCTTGTATGTGGACATGTACCATAACACTAAACAATTTATTATTTTGCTCCAATATTGTATTGTATTTATTTGAAGAATAGTAGGTTGATAAGAATATTACCCAATATGCTATTAGAATAGCACTGCATAAAAGTAAGAATTACATTTATAAAGGAAATATTTTCTCCATATTTTCCAAACATCCAGATGAAAAGTTGAAAGATTGTCAGTTGTACAGATGTTCTAAATACCCAGATGTTACATAGAGAAGATATTTGGCAACAAATGAAACTTTCTTCTTTCATCCATATGGTTCAGTCTAGTTTCATTTTTCTATAAAATTGTATAATGGAAATTACAAGCATATTTTGATTTTTAAAAATAAAAGTAGAACAAAATATAAGGATACTGTTTTTATGTTTCGTTTCTGTCCATCTGCAGTAGTAAACTGAACATTCCTAGAGTGTTACATGAAAAAGAATTCTTCATGATAAAAATATCATACTGATCTGATTTTAGTACAGCCTGCATTCTTTTCTCACTTTATGTTACTCCATACTTTAATAGTACAGCTAAATAGTAATTTGAGATTTATTTGTTTTTCCCTTATATTTTCCAGTCCCACTCCGCCATATTCATTCCAGCAGCAGGCTCTGTGGGCCATTAGCAAAGAGAGGGTGCATATCAGAGTGAAAAGCACTAATAGCCCCAAGGCTGCCTAATTTTGCTTTCCAAAAACTTAAGCTTCAAAGAAAGGAGTCCAGTTAATACACAGAAAATAAAGACATGCACTCTTTTGCTCACCCAAGTTTGTGGAGTGATATACACACACTGAAATTGTACACTGCACTTAGAGATTATGCTATCATGATTGTATCAGTCAGTTTAGGTGGGCTTAGGTGTGCTTTAGAAGCAATCAAGTGTAAAATCTCCTTGCAACAACAAAGGGTCATTTCTTCCTCACATTAGACATCTGCCGTGGGTCCTCTTTACTGGATATCCAAGCTGAAGAAAGCCAATACTGGCTTTCTTATGGCAAAGGGAAAAAGAGCAATGGTGGGCTATGGGCTATACAATGGTTCTTAAAGCGTCTGCTTTAAAGTGGCCTATGTCACGTCTACTAATATACATATTATTGGACAAAATGAGTCAGATGGTCAAGCTTGATATGTTTGGGTAAGAAGTATAACCTAAGAAATATAACCTTGTCACCGAGAGGGGCTCCACTGGGAGGGACCCAGCGGGGTGGGGCAGTGAATATTTTTACCTCAGTACAACTTACCAAAATTATCATTTTAAGCACACATTATGTGCTTAACTGTGGAGATCACTGGGTTAGATGTGTCAAAATAGTAATTCATTTAGGGTATATTTCCTTTGAGAGATTATAAAATGTGAGAGGAAACACCAATTCAGACAGATAAAATCAGAATGAGAATAGTAAAGCAGTTTTGGATGTTTCTAGATAGGGATGCAGTATTGTAAATTCATGTTCAGAGGGGAGAACCAAGAATTGAGAAAACTGATCTCCATCTGGTCAAATTGGGAAAAGTTTGTACAGGAAAAGGTTGTGGTTTAGAAGCTATTGAGTGGGGAAGGGGGTAATAAAAAAACGATGACTAACGTGTGTATGTCATTTTACAATTTATAACTATTATTTAATATTTTTAGTGACCACCTGAGGTAGATATCATCACTTCCATTTAGCGATGAGGACACCGAGGCTCAGATTAAATGATTCTCCCATGTTTTTAAAATAAATATCAGAACCAGGATTTAAGCAATCTACTGTAGTTCTATACATTGTTTGCTTTCCATGCTGAAAAAGGGAAGTGAAGAAAGCAGGGCGTGCCTTGGGAGAGACTCCAAAATGGGGGAATAAACAAGAAACAATTAGCTTGAGCACAACGAAGGAGTGTGCTGCCAAGGGGGGTCTCCCACAAGAGAAAATGAAGGAAGTGAAGTCGTCTGGCATATGCCGCCTTTAGTATTTCGAAGCCCTTAACTAGTGATATGGGAAGAAGTACAAAGATTTACTCAAGAAATATTTGTTGATGACCTACAGGCTAGATAATAGAAGCGGAGGCACATTGCTGATACAGACTGTGGATATGAGAGACTTTTCTTGGGCCTGAAAGTTAGATGTAAAACCATCTTAACTATTTCCAACTCCCACGCTCAGTTCCCTGAGGTTAGGAGGATATTAAGTGGAAAGTGGGTTCTTGGTTCTCTTTGAAGAAGGGTCTTATGGTTCCCACCATTGGTGGATAGAGGAAGAGTGGTTAGCATTGTTGAAAAACCGTGTGATGCTGCCCACTTCTGGTCAGAGATGACAGTGAGGCATGGATTTGGTTTCTGTTAGTTCAGGTCTTCTGAGAAGCCATCAGCAAGGTGAGACTAGATACGCAAGATTCATTCAGTAAAAAACCTATGAAGGATAAAGGGGAGGAGGCAGGCGAAGGTGAGGGGAACATCAGACTATGATGCAGGTATTACACCTGAGAAGGAGAGGAGGAAGGAAGGAGGACTGAGTAGAAGAGTCTCAGGTTGCAATGTCATTCTAGGAAAGTTTTAGCCATAGTTGAGGACTTGGGCGAGTTTTCCAACCACAACGGCCAGTCACAGGAATTCAGTGTCTAGCAGGAGTGGGCTAGGAATAGTCTTCTCATTCTCCTCAGCCATCAACCGAAAGCACCCTGTGGGGGGTATGGCCTCAGTGTAAACACAGTAATGAATCCAAAGGAGCAGGAACTTAATTTAGATATGAGAAGTTTTTTGTTTGTTTGTTTTGTTTTTTTGGTTTTTTGCAGCTCCAAATGATTAGGTTGACCTTTGATCTTGAAAAGCCTTTTCAAAATGAAATTGCTCATACTGTACTACACAAGCACAAAATTGCTGGATTAGATAGAATTCTATGTGTCCTGGAAACCCACACTGCAAGTTTATGGAGAGGGAACAAGTGTAGGTAGAAAAGTTATTATATCTTCCATACCCCAGTCATATGCTCTGACAGTTAAAGCAGATTACCAAGGAGAAATTAGGCAATCATTTTAACTGATGTTGTCCTTGTCAACCTTCTCTCCAGAAGTAGCTGAGAATAAGGGGGGATATGAACTGATATTTCTGTAAATCAGAGAATCTCTGTAAATTGTGGCATATTTTTTGCAAGTGTTGAGGCTTTAGTATTTGTACTCCACCATAGTTTAGAATTGCAATTTTCTATTATAAGTACTTTCTGCTACTGAAATCACGTGAGTACATTTGAGGCATATGCATAGGTATATATTTTAAGGCAATCTATTTCCTGACATAAGTAAGTGTTTGGTACTTTAATTATAACTCATCAAGAAAGACCATCTATTTACCTGTCTGTTGATCAAAATTTCTAAATTATGGAGGGAGGAAAAATGTGAATGCCAGCTGTACTTAAAA